TATGAGCTCCTAATTTACTCATCAACACAAATACGGTTTGCATATCCTTGTTCGGTTTGGTTTTCTTCCCACCACAAACTCGAACGAATTTCTCCAAATTTTTGTTTACTGGTTATAGTCAATGCAGGCAGTAAAAATTTCAGAAAGCACAAATGGAAAAGCAGATAAAAAGTCTCATTTTCCAGCTTGACAATACGGAATAAATTTTTGACCATCTACAGCAGCCTGCAAACGGTTTCCCAACTCAACAAGTAAACAGGCAATCAGTTCTATGTAGTAACGAAATTACTTTTGGACTTTGTGAAATTAGAACTTGCTAATTAGAAATGAAGACTTTAAAAAAGTAAGTCTGGATTCTAAATTTGTGTAGTTCTTCCTCACAAACTAGTAAGAGGTGGTCTGTGGAGATAATATAGCAAATCTAATAGTTTATGTCCTATATGGGAATAAAAGAATCAATTTCATAATTAAAGTCTTACATACCTGATGATATGGATATAGATTCCTGGTTCATCCCTTCAGTGTATACTCCATATCACTAGTAGAAAGCTCCCTTGATCAATTTCCCTCCCCAATCCTCATCGACCATCAATAGACAACGTCTTGGCCTTTGGTCTCATCTATAATGGAAGGCTAAGGATGTGTTTGGTTAGTAATTTGAAAACAAAAGATTTAATGGGAAAATGAGTTATACATGTTTTCGCTATTTCTGAATATGTGTTGTGTTTGGTAGCAGGTTTAAAATTTTGAAAATACAAACAACATTTTCACACATTTTGAGTCACATAATCCAAATACGTTCTCACTACTGYTTAAACTCACCAAACAGAAATTCAATGAATCTGAAACTAAATAAGATACTAAAAAATAGGCCCCTGAACCACCTGTCTAATTGAAATGATAGGGTTGATGTGGAGGTGAGCAAGTGATTCTAATGAGGAGTCACCCATGTTCAATGGGCGATATTAAAGTTTTAAGGAAGACCATCACTTGTCAAAGGTGGAGGAAGGTATGCCCTCAGCAGATTCGATCAAGGGTCTGAAATGGTATTAAACTCATGCTTAAAGCATAACAAAAATGAACCGGTTTTGCGATTTTTTTATTAAATGAAATTATCCGCAAATAGAATAAAAGCACCAGATCATGTACATGATAAGAGTGTACCATATTATTAAGATTTGTAGCTTCAAGTCATGGGATCAGAGTTCACCTCATCTTCAGATCTTGGATGCCTTGAGTGGTGAACTGCTTAGAACAAAAAGAACTAAACTTTCTCGCGGTCTTCCATCCACCGTCTTTAAGCTTCCCATCTGTTAAACGATGCACAGTGGATAGAATAAAAAAAACAGGCTTCAACATACATCATTCAGACTCAAAGAGAGTGATTGAATTTAGAAGCCTACCTAGCACAACATGCTTTAAGAAATGGAATTAACCATGCTAGATTACTGTACTCATCACTCTACAGCAGTTGTATTCTAATTTTTTAAGGGTAACAGGCGAGAGAAATTACTAAAAGTATTTACAGGATTGAGAAGTAACTTGCCAATAGAACACTAAGTGGAAGCTTTTTGAAGGAAACTGCGAGAGAGAGTTCTCCATTGAGGGGCATGCTTGAAACCAAACAAAATGTCAATTTTTCCAGTGCAACTTCACTACCTTATATTAGTCGAAAAATGGAACTACAATTGGAAAATTTTCACATTTCTAAATGCTACAACAAACGCGAACCTCTGTTCAAAGTTACTTCAAAGCAATGCCAAGAAAAAACCTCTGTTCTACGAGAGGCCCTGGCAGAGTGTTGAGCCACAAATACCACAACCAGAACAAGCTGACAAGTATTTATCAACAGCTTAATGTAAAACAGTACCTGAGATGGATTCCTTTGAGATCGATTTCTGCCACCCATTTCGTAGGCTCGAGGCGTCCCTTCTCCACTGGACAACGCCTTTAGCCTTACCCTAATTCCTTTCCACGCCACGTCAGTGTCAAAAGCATGCTCCCAGTCCTGCGATAGGAGCATCAGAAACTGAGTTTGAGGCGGTATTAGAACAGACTCTTTATATTTCCACTGCTGATTATCTATAGACGACCCTGAGCATGGCTTGCAGTTATCGTATGCTCCCATGGGCTTCAAATGCAATGTCCTTGATCTCAAAATAGATGAAACTCCTCTGTCAAAAAGCTAACATCAATTTTAAGGTGAAATTAGCCTTCATTGATTGTCAAAACACTTCAAAAACATCCAGTTCAACTCATAATGATTCACTACTACAAAATTAAAATAGAACAACTACCAAGCTGTCTTCACATTACTCAAAAACTGAAAGAAACTAAAAACAAAAAACGAAGAAGTCCCTAATCTGCATTTCCTCTAATTCTTCTTCATTCTTTCCTATAAAAAGTTCAATAAGAAGGATGCAGTTTCTTTGAAACCAAGTGGGTAGAAACCCCTACTACTACAAATACCACGCCACCTCCTAGCTAACCATTGGAGGGCAACGTGGGATCCCCCTTAAGCGTGACAGTCGAATCTCCCTTCTGAAATTTCATAACCAAATTCCTAAAATTTACTTCCACAGGCCCGAGCTTTCTGAGCCATTCCACTCCCAAAATTTCATCAAATCCCCTCAAGTCCAGAGGTATATAAAATCTTCAATCACAGTCAAACCAGGCAAATTTAACACCACTGCCTTGAATATTCCTTTCCCTTCCACTGTCGCCCCCGTTGGCAAGACCACACTGTAGTTCGGAGTGTCACTCAGCGGCAATTGTAGCTTTTCCATTAGTCTCTGAGAAACAAAGTTGTGGGTGGAGCCGGAACCAATGAGTACAACAACTTCTGAATCTTCAATCTCAACTCGGAACATCATCCTCCCCGGTGCCGTCCGCCCCACATCGTCCCCTGTTTCCGTTGGCTTCGTATCGTTGTTCGGAAGTTCCTCATCCTCTTCGTCCTGAACCAAGAAAACTCTTAGCTCGCGGTTTCTGCACTTATGGCCCACGATTAATTTCTCGTCGCATCGGAAGCATAAACCCCTTTCCTTCTTCGATAGATACTCTGTAACAGATAATGTTTGGTAAGTTGAATCTGGATCAGTTCGTGGAGCAATGGTTTCACCCAAGGTACCACCATTGGACTCTTGAGATATTTTTTGCAGTACCCGGTACTTCTCCACCACGAACAGCGCCTTCCGGATCATTTCATCAAGTCCATTAGGGCTGAAGCAACGTACCTCTGCTCGGAGGAGTGGATCCAAGCCGTTCATGAAGACGGCCTCTAACAACTCCTCGGAGATTCCCGGCAGCAGCGGCGTGGAGAGAATCTTGAAACGCGTCCTATACTCAGCGACGGTTCCCTCCTGCTTAATCGCAAGGAACCTCTCCCACAGAGCACCCTCCTCAGAAAATACCGACATCTTTACCGAAGCTTCTCCCGTTCCGACGACCTTCCGACGACCTGAGCGATCATCTTCATCTCTAAGTCCCTTGCCTCGCATGACTGAATCCTCCACTCCCCATTCCACAACCGATTTCAAATTTCCTCCTCCAAATTCGGATTTCACCGCAGCCACGATTTGTCTCTGTTTTTGTTCACATTTTTTCGCATTTCCTCTCCGTTTTCCGAGGTCGCATAGTCGCTGTCACAAACCCAATTCCTCTGTGAATCAACGTAGAAGCTACCAACCTGCCATGGGAGAGGAGAGGGCTGCGAATTCTGCTGTACTCGAGGACTAACGAAAAGATAACCGATTCCCTTCTACAGAAATCCTAACTGTCAGATACCACATTTACCATATTGCCCCTCCTCACATACAGGCCTAACGGTAACTCCTCCTCGTCGTGGCGGTGATAGTGAATGAATCTTCAAGTTTCAAGACATTGTTCCACTTTCCAACCAATGGGATTACTTTTACAATTTTTATTTTTTCAGTTTATAATAATTTTTCATTTAGTAAATAAAGATAAAGATTATTCGTTCATAAAAGTAACTCAAACAGTCAAACTAGATTTTTTTTTTTCATGGAAGGTAGGAGGGTTTAATTCATTCAATCAAAAATAGCTTGATTGGAACTTTTTTTTTTTATGATCTGATTAATTGAAAAAAATAATTGGAGTTTGTTTAATCAATAAATAACCATTACATGTTGTCAAAATAAATAAATAAATAAAAATAACCGTTACATATTTTATAATTAAGGTAAAGTTGTTGTATAAGAGGTGTGAACAAATCGCAAATACAAGAAAGATGCTCAATAATTTATTTGCCCGTGAATCTGTGCTCTCATAAGGTTGTACGGTAGAGTGAAATAGAAGGTGCATTCCATTTCCAACAGATATTCTTTGAAATGGATTAAAAAGGAAAAAATGACAAAAAAAAACCTTATTTTTACTTTAATTCTGTAATTGTTTTGTGCACGCAAGAGACTTGAGTGTTGGAACCCAAGATCCAAGTTCGAACTTGAATGTTCAGAAATAAAAGAAAAATTATAATTGCTTACTAAATTAGAAAAATCAATAATGATTCATCTTTACACCAAAATTACAGAAAATAAATTGATATTTACTCGAATAATATTTATGAGAGGAAGATACTCACATTTGATGACTTATATCTATCCCAACTACCATTCACAGTGGATAGCTCATTAAAAATTATAAATAAAAAAAAATCTACTTTTACATTTCTATTTTCATTTTATGAAAGGTCAACCGTAATATTGAAACAAATAGCAAAGTTCAAGAGTATTTTTTGTAATTTAACCTATTTATATAATTTATTACTCTAAATAATTAACTTCACATGTAAAAAGAATGTTTTGAGTTTGAGGATGGAAGAACCAAAGGAATGGATTCCCATAAGGAACTCACCAGGGCCCAGAAGTTTGGGCCTCAAACCAGAGAGCTCAGTGGGCCATTCAAAGTCCATGAAAAGAGAAATATTTGAACATGTCCCACGTCCCACCCAAATGTACAACCACCACTGGTTCTTTCTGAAATAATGAGAAACAAGAATGAAGGTGGAATATTTCAGGCTTTCAGCAGTGTAGATTTTTGTTATCTCAACTATCATCTTTTTTTCTGAACCATTCTCCTAACCAATGTTATATCTTCCAACATCCTTTGATTCCTACCGCCAATCTAAGAGAGAGAGAAGTCTAAATTGAAAGAGAGAGAGAGAGGGGGGCAGAGAGGGGATGTGAAAAAAACAACCCACAATCTGCAACTGAAACATCATTTGCCACTGAGTAAAAGGAGATGCAATTCCATTGAGTTACCCCCATCACAAATACTGTTCTTGTATCCTTGCTCGGTTCTCTTCCCACCACAATCTCGCATGCATTTCTCCGAACTTTTCGCGACTGTGTCAACACAAACCAAGCCAGGGGTCAGATTTTTGCGAGTATATCGAAAACAAGATGAAGGATCTAATGTTGATCGATAGTTTCCAGCTTAATAGGACGATATGAACATATGACAATTGACAACACAGACATATTCGACTCAAACAAGAAACTGCAAGCGTAGTTTAAGGAGCCTAATTCCAGTAGCAACTTATCAAGCTAGTTATTTCTCTCATGATATAATATTGCAGAGCTATAACGGTTTCTGAGTCCTATATGGGGAGGTTAATAGTCAGAAAGTGAGAGATTTAGCTTGAAAACTATGGTTTTTGTTATTTTATAATACAATACCTGAATCGAATGCGTCTGAGTTCCCTTGAGCCACCCGGCAGCGCCCTGATAGTGATGTAGACTCCTGGCTCATCCTGTTCAACCCATTCAGTCTCCAAATCACTGGCATTACTTACAGAAAGCTCTTCTTCTGACTCATCTCCCTCACTGGTCCTCGCAGAACCATCTCCAGATGATGTCTCGGTCTTTGCTTCGTTTGCGCAGGAAGGGTTAATGGATGAAGCTAAACCACCTAGATCATAGCAATGAGAGGGTTGGTTAGGATGATGATCGAGTGATTCTGATGATGAGTTTCCCAATGGGTGATTTGAGTTTTGAGGAAGTCGCTCGTTTGTCAAAGGTGGAGTAGCAGGGCTGTCCTTGGCAGATTGAATTTTTGAGGCCTGGAATAGAATAGAACTCATTAAGCATGTAACAAGATCGACAATCGTTGCAAACTCGCTGAATGCTTGAAACTCACCTCGTCTTCTGACTGTGGAGGGGATGGTGGGAGGGGAACAGCTTGGCTGTTGAACCGCTGGACATTATACAATTCCATAACCTTCTCATAGTTTTCCGCCCACCATCTTTGAGCTTCCCATTTGTTGAACATTTCACGGCTGATCGATGGAAGAGATCAAGGCTTAGCAACCAACCACAAGCATTTACAGAAAACTTAGCCAAAAGAAAATTGTTCAAGACATTCAAATTCATAATTCTAAAACACACAATCATGGGAAAAGAGGAAACAGATTAGAATGTTAAAATCGCAGCTAAATCACAATATTCCACCTCCTAAGCTTATTTTACAGGACAAGGTAATCACTGATCTAAATGGATAGATCCGCACTGGAGATATTTCCACCAGCCAACAGACTGTCTTACATTTCCACAGTCTGAAACTTAAATCTTACGGAAAAAAACTACAGGAATGACTAAAACAAATGACCTCAGTTTATAAAGGACTTGCCGGAGTGTTAAACCTCAAATTCACGACCGACACAAGCTGACAAACAAGTGATCCACTTCCAGACAAATTGGAATCATCAGCTACCGTTGAATTCCAAATATTTTACCTGAAACGAATCCGTTTGAGATCGTTTCCTCCCTGCGGAAATGAAACGAAAGTGATAAGCACACCAGGCTCCACTTGTGCCACCCATTCCTTGGGCTCGTCTTCTTCCATGAATACAATCTCTGTTCGCCCACTTCCCGACGCAGGGGTCCCTTCCCCACTAGATAGCGCTTTCAATCTGGCCTCCATTTCCTTTCCCCATTGCCTTGGTGTGGAGTTTGAGCTACCGGTTCGGCGGTAGGAGCAATGGAACCTCGCCGAGTCTGAGGCAGAATCAGATTCTGCATATTTATACTTGCGGTTATCGCTGGATGAACCCGAGCATGGCTTGCAGTTCTTGTAAGCTCCCGAGGCCTTCAGTGCGATGTCCTTGATCTGAAAGTAGAAGAAAAAGTCTCCGTCATAAACATCAATTTCACAATAAAATGATCTTTGACCAAGTAAGAAACATTGCAGAAACCGTCAATTTCACATTAATTCCCTTGTCTGGCTTCTTTCCCCCAACACTGAAAATCGAACAATTCTCTGGCTTTCTTTTTTGATCACCTTGAAAGTGAAAAAAAAAATCATATCTCCTTGCTCTTCGTGTTTCTCCTCAAAAAAGTTCGATCAACAATGATTCCAGGAAAGAATTTTACGCTCAAAATTCCGCATAATTGTTGAGAGCAACAGAATTAATTTCTTCAAAATTTCCGAGAATAGAGACAGAATCTCAGAACGGCCAATGTTTACCTGAGCAGTAAGGGCCTTGATTGTTTGCTTAGTCCTCGGAGTAGCAACGGCGTCTTCTCCCTCCTGCTGGTGCAGAGATCCATTGTTGAGCTGCTTCGAGCACGCAATACACGTCAACATCTCCGGTACCTGAAGCAGCAATCCACCGGATTTTCACACCGAATAACAAAATGCGTACACTGCGAGTTCCAGAAGCTCTGTCACAGTGCGGAAACACAAGATCTTGTCTCTAATCACCCAGAACAATATCAAAAAGAAAAAAAAAATCTCAAATCGAAAGGCCAAAGCAATACGGAATAATGTAAACGATAAATAGCAGTTCAAATAAACAAAAAGTAAGTGGAATAATGGAACTATTCCGCAGCACCTTACGGATTAGAGAGGACAAGAAAAAGGCAAAAAGATTGACTTCGAAAACGATCACGTCGAGCAGTCGCTTTCCAAAACTTTCAATCAGGTCCCGGATGAAAAAAAAAAAGCGCACAGAGAAGAAGAACAAGAAGAAGAAGAAGAAGAAGAAAAAAGTCGATTGGATTGGAAGTAATCGAATGAAGCGTCGGGATTAGGGAAAGAGGGTTTCTTCGTTACGATGCTTTAAATACAGCCATCAGATTCTTCCTTCAATCGCATTCATTCGAGCCTTTAACCTTTTTTTCCCTTTTTTTCTTTTTTTTTTCCTTTTTTTTTTCTGCTCGACCTCCGCCTCAGCCACGCCCGCGGTGGTCGGCGTGCGAGCCAGTTACGAGGAGTGAGAAACACTCAATAGGTTTCTTCATCTTCTTCTATTGAAATTTGGGCTGCAGAGTCAGAGCTCGACGCAGCGGCGCGGCGCGGAGCCAAGAACCTATGTGGCTACGTTAGGATGCGGCAGGCGCAGCCGAGTGGCCGCCGCCGCGGCGCCGCCTCAGAAAGAGGGAAACAGGGGAGAGGCGTTTTCGTTGTGTTTGGGAATTTGATATGATTCAGTCACGAGGGGGGCGATCCAGTCACGTGCGCTACCAACATTTCTGGATCCAAATATCAAAGTATTGTATGGCTTGGCTTCCCTCCAAAATTCCTTCTTCTTTTTCTTCTTTCTTTTTTTTAATGGGTGAATTGCCCTCCATAAATATTAATTAATGCCATTTTAAATGGKGTATATTATTCTTGTGACGGTATTTAAGTTTCCACATGAGATGAGAAATTATGTCTTTCCTTTCTGTATTATTATGTTTTTCTTTGTTTTTTAATTTTGACTACCTTAACATAGTTACTGGTTAAGATACTTATCTCTGATCGAAAAAAATGAAAA